TGCTGCGCCTCGGGGCGGTGCGGGAACCGGCCGTGGAGCCCGAGGGGGCGGGTGCCCCGGTGGCACCTCTTGAGGAGAGGGAAGGGGCGTTGACGTGAGTTCTTTGTCTCTGCAGTTCTTAAAGAACAAGATGGGAAAGTCTGAGAAGGCTGCCATCCCCTTCAGCCAGCCTGTTCACAGTTTACACCTGTGTGAACAACCAAAGATTAACAGACAGAAGACTAAATGTAACATGCCGCTGACAAAGATCGCCTCGGCAAAAAAGATAGAGAACTTTTGGCAAGATTCTGTATCGCCAGAAGTAGTTCAAAAGCAGGAGAAAAAGCCACTTAAAAACACAGAGAACTTCAGAAATGCCAAGTCCAAGAAACCTGTCACCCTAACTGAAGCGAACCAAAAAGAAAATTACGCTGGGGCAAAATTTAGTGACCCACCATCTCCTAGTGTCCTTCCAAAGCCTCCCAGCCACTGGGTGGGTGGCACAGCTGAACCGTCTGACCAAAACAGGGAGTTGATGGCAGTCCATTTGAAAACTCTCCTAAAAGTTCAAGTGTAGTTTCCAAGATCTCATGAGCAATTGGCAAACAAAACTCCATCCAGGAAACTTAAACATGCCTTGTTGCAACAAAAATTGCAAAAGACTGTCAAGTCTTATGTTAAAAAATATCCTTGTATTATATTTTTTATGGTTGTGTACATAGTGTATATCATGTATTATGTGTATATTCTTGTTCATACTTTGAGAGGTACATTTTAGTTTTGTTATGAAAGGATGTATTTTGCACTGCCTGAATGGTAGATGTCTTGTATATAAAACATGGACAATTTTAAGTGTGTGTTTGACACATGAAGACTTGACTTGATTTGCACAAGGTAATGAAAATTTTGGAAGGAGAGTACAGCTTTCTGATTTAAAGGTTCCAGATCAAATGTGAATGTTTTATTCATGCACTACTGACAATAGTTTTACATTCTGTGTCCCAATTGAGTATAAACATGGAATTTTCATACAAATGTGAAGTTTTGCTCTCTGCTCTGGAAACAGTATCTGGAATTCGTGTTCATCTGTTTTGTTTTTAAAATTAACTGGAATTTGAGTGAAATTCCAACCCACCAATTTGAGCACTGCTGATTTCTTTAAAGAAAAAAAAAAAGAAAAAAAAAAAGAAAAGAGCAGAGCTTTCTGCCAAAAATCCAATTGGTCACTAAAAAATTAAATAAAACAATTTGGCCTCCCCTTAAGCATGTCTCTGTTTTTCTTGCGTGTGTGTGTGCGCGTGCCTTTTAATTCATGTGAACTTACTTGATTGCCTTCTAGTCCATCAATAGGAATATTTTGTCCTTCTTGTGATAAGTTGAGACACGGACAATTTAAAGTGTCTAAATCCAATGCAAATTTTATTATATTAGCAAGCGAACAAGAGCAAAGGCAGCGCTGGGCGGCCGGGGAGTCCGCGCTCCGCCAGCGGCTCGCACCTTCCCGTCTCGTGTAAGCACATTATATACAGGCTCATTTCCTGTATTCGCGGTGTCGCAATCCGGGCGATGTCGCAATCAGGTCGATACTCTGCGCATGTTCCTTCTGTTGCTAGGGGGTCTTTCTCTGCCTCCTGGTGGTCGTAAGGATGAAGGCTGAAGGTCTTCCTCGTTGCCCTGTGGGTGAACTTAGGCAAGAATGTGACTATTCAACCCCCTCAGCTACGGGTCTTGTTTACTTTGCTGGATGTCCTTTGGTTAAGCTATCAAGCCTTGCGAGCGCATAAATCTTCCATCCATACCCTCCCATACAGGTTTAATGAACAAAGCACAATATGTTACCTATTACACTTCTCGGCCTTTAACTATCCAAAAAATTAAGAGATTCAATAGCTCATTAAGAATTCCTTGGGTTTTCTTTTTTAAAGTGTTGCCTTTGTGATCTGTCATATTTAGGTTTCTTATCCTTTTGTTTCTTGAAAACTCAGACTTCAGCAAAGCTGGGCAATTGCACATTCAGATTCATGCTGCAATGCTCCTCAGCTATTTTCATAGTAAGTGGTCATTAAACTAGCTGATACTGAAAAGTAGCAATGACAGAAAGGTATGGATGGGGTGAGTTAAATGTCATGTTTTTCACCGGATTTGTCTCTTGCTGATAGCTGTGCTAGAAGTGGCATTCCTCTGATGTAAAATTCTTGAGGAACTGGACCATAGATGAGTCTGACAGGCATATTGGGATAACATAGATTTGCAGTTATTTTACTAACTAGTATTTAAGTAAGATTAATAAAGCAGGAAATGTGAAATTTACCTAAAATAGAAAAGCATTTTTAAGTCTTTGGATCCACTGAAAAAAAAAATACCCTCTGGGCACTAGCGTATGAGGAAGTGTATGTCGGAAGAAAACGAAGGGGATGTCAAAGGAAATGCCAGGAGCAGGTCCCAGCCGAGGTGGTTCCTTAGCGTCAGCGGTGTTTTCAGAGATCGGAGTGAGCAGCATTAGCTGCATTCGTGCCCATGTGCACGACTGCTGCTGCTATGTCACATCGCTTTGTTCCCTGCCTGTGGGTTGGCAGCAATCATTAACATGGCCCTGAAATGAGAGTCGTTGAAAACTAAGGGAGTATGTCTTTGCGTTGTTTATAGACATTAATATCGTTGCAAAATTTTCATGATGATGCTATTAGGCTGTGGTGTTCTAAACTAAGAGTTCATGCAAAATTTGTGGTCTGCCCCAAACACTTGTGGGTTCCCTGTCTTGCAAAACAGATCTGTGTTACTTGATCAACGACAGTACGTGCTCAAGGTAAGCATACGACTGCAACAGCCCAGTTTGCTGCCTCATTTAAATACTAGTTAATATTTAACTAAAATTTAAATACGTAGTTAATCTAAATACTTTAACAAACGGTAGTAGGGTGAAGAAAAATTCTAGTAGAATGTTGCTTAAGGATGGCTCGAGTTGACCATGAGTCCCACTTTACTACGTTATGTATATGTTGTACTAATCTGCTGTTGTGCCTTTTTTTTTATCCTTTTTTTCTTTGGCCTGAATGTCATTAAGCACAAAGGAAAATGCCTTCAGCGATTCCCCATAGCTTTAGGCAGCAGTGGTTAATTTTGTCAGCTGAACTTGTAATTGTCTTGAATCTTGATAAGTAGCTTGACAAGAGCTAGTTTCCTCAGCCCTGCAGGTTGGCATTGTTTAAAAGGAGGTGTCCTTTTTTCCACCTGTTATCTCTTAACAGCCTCTCTTCTTCCCTGCCCCTTGGAGCGGACATCAAGTTACATAGTTTTGATGGTAACTCTGACCCTAGGTAAAATTTCCCAATGTAACACACGTCTTTGTTTCTGCCCGAAATTGCCAACACATCCCTGGTGATTACAAAACCCATTAGACTTAAGTGCTGATAGTTCTCGGCTCCTCAGCCAGAAAGTTTAAAACTTTGCACGCCTTGTTGGACCATAAAGGTTTTCAGGGTAAGATAACAGTGTTTCATCGGTCTTTCCAAACAATGGGGGGACACAAAGCTTATTTACCTGGCTTCTGCTTCAGTATCACTGATTCTGTTGTCATCTGGCAGAAGTGTTGGGACACTTAATGTTTTGATCTTAAGATCTTTCGGTTGAGTCCCTTCCTGGCCAGTGGGTTATAAATCGAGGCCTATGTGCAATATACATTTCAAGAAAATCACGTGAAAAATCAGGACGTCTTCGTCTCTTAGGACCGTATTCTGCACTTCGTCACTTTCCCACGTTTTTATCTCTCTGCGGTGTTTTCATACAGGGATTTTTATTTTCAAGGTTTCCTTTACTGTGACAGATTTCTCATCCCAGTTCCCTGAAGGCGAGGCATTGTATTACGTGAACATAGGACTGGTTTGAGTTTAGAGCCAGTAAACAATAACGTTAGTGTCGCGTTTGGAGGACTTCTTTGCAATGTAGTATAAAGTCTTTTAAAGTGAACAGCCTTGAAGGAAGAAGATGAACAAATTCAGTGGATGTGTTACCAGCTGGTCGTGTGTCCGCTGTATAGGAATTAAATAAATTGCTTATGAAATATTCTGTGTTCAGAGTAGGGAAACCGAATGTACTGCATTTTGGTTAGATAATGAAAATCTGTTTAAAGTCTTCGGTGCAAGGCTGTGCAGAACTGCAGGGGAGTCAACTGTGCAAGTTAACTACCAGCTTACTTTTTTAACAGTTAAATGTCATGTGGTGATGGTCCTGAAAAATCAGCTTTCATGGAGTGCAGAAGTATCTGTCGTTGGGTTTTCACGCGTGGCTAAGTTTCAGCCCATCAGACAGCTTCATTAATAACGGCTGGCTTGGTGCTCTGCTAAAGCGCTGCTGTCTGCTCATGCAACAGGAGCTGGAAATCCCGTGTGCATTTGAACTCCGTTACACCGGTACCTCTTCAGAGATGCCGCTGAATTCTGAAGTGGTCTTTGTGTGAGGCTGTAACTTTCTACATAAATTGAATTTTATTTCAGGTGATTAATATTTTATCTGAGTATTATAATTTTAAGCAGTTCTTGTAATTGTTTTCAGAGGGTTTTTTTTAAGCTTTTGCATTATAGAGCATTTGATACCTGCCACACTTCAGGATTTTTTTCTGCTTTACCCAGTTTTGAGCTCAAATACGGCCCATGTAGATTATATGAAGCCTGAAGATTATAGATGGGTTTTCATTGTAATTTTGGAAATAAATTTACCTTTATTTTTGTGTAGAAAAACTCAACACTTCCATCACGCAGTTAAAAATATTTCTTATTTTCTTCTACAACCCCTTACATTCTTTGAATTTTGATTTCACAATGTGTTATTTAATTTTTTTTCATAATATATGCCTACCTACCCGAACTGTTTAAGGGGAATCATTTTATGTTGTAATTTCTAAGACGGTTTTATGTTATGCTGGTCTTTACCCTAAAGAATCTGGGAGGTAAGTGAGAGATAAAGGTTGTAAAATGTTAACATTTACTGTGAAATACTGATGCTGCCTTGTTGAACAGGAACCACAGTGTTAAATATTTTTGATAGCAGGAAATGTTTCGTTGCTGATTCCGTAGAAAAGATTAATGAAGGGAACATCCATCAATTAGGGAGAAATATATTATCCAATAAAAGTACCTAACTGCTGAATGTTATCAGCAACATAAAGGCTGTGAACTTTTTGGTTTGTGTTGAGGATGTAGAAAAATGTTAACCAGAGCTACGACAGGGAGGTCAAGAATTCAGCTGCATTTGGAAAAAAATCCTCAGGAATTAATTTGCACAGTGAATGCATCCCCTAACTTAGAGGGGGGGGAGCATTCCTCTCCAGCTTTTTTCCCCATGAGTGGTAAAATCTCATTTATTCAACTCCCATAAAATACGCCTTCAGAGTTTACAAAGCCATGACTCCGCTGGAAGTGCTGCACTGGTGCTTTTGTTTAACGCTAGTCTAGCGACATTACTACAAGTTACACGTATTCAGGCTTGTCTGTGGCACATGCAGTCATTTAGCCTGGGTGGTTCATAAACCCTTGTCTCCAGTTTGAGAATGACACTGGTTGTGTGTACTTACACTGCTGGTGAGCAAACTGGTGTGATTTCTGTAATTTGTACCTGAAAGAGGAGGTATTTGGCGATCAAGGACTTTTCTTGTGTTTATAGGACTTCGCTAAGTCTGTAGTTGTAGTTCAGAATACGGCTGTATGTATTTCAAGAAGCGATGTAATCATTGCCGTTTTGCCATTCTTAAGGTCATGAAGCATACAGTTTTGAGGAGACACTGTTTCTATGGAAGATGTCATTTGCTCCTTTAATGAAGCGGTGTGCTTTCATCAGGTAGGTCTATGAACCTCAATTTGCAAATGTCCATGTAAGTGGTGATGGCAATGGCCGTCAAAATACAATTTGCTTTGTTTTTTATTCCCTGAAACAAGACCTAGAGCTACAATCAATAAAGGGCTTAGTATAGAGAGTCAGGCCTTTCTCTTGTTTTCTCTCATCACCTGAGTCTTGTGTTCTTTACTGCCTGGTGACATAGCTGCATGAGAAAAAATAAGGTGTGCCCTTGCCTAAAATAATAATACAGCATGAGATCTGTAATTTGCTTATATGTATGTATGTATATATGTCATGAAGCTTTTGTAAGTTACATTCCTAGCATCAGAATATTCAGAAATTGCATATTGTCATATTTAGAATATCAATAGCTCATTGTAGGAATTAATGGAGCAGTAAATTGATAGACCTTGTCCGAATTTTAGACA